AAGCTCATCATTTCTTGGTCATTTGTCGTGTTTCCTCACACAGATATGCCATTCGAGGTAAGTAAGCACAGATGTGTAACATGCATGAACAAACCCGGTCATGGATGGTGGAGAATGTGGATGAGTGCCTGTGAATCAGAGTCCACGTCTGCGTCTGCTTTTAAGTCTCCCAAGTCGGTCTAGTCACGTGAGGTTGTAATGACTAGTTGACTTTGAGCGAATGCTATTTTAAGAGCACTTTAAATGCATCTGACGCGGTCTCAGCCAATCAGGGAAACGAAACGGTTGGCAGTTGTTTGGGGTGTTTGCAAAAACAACCAAAAAAATGGAAACCTTTAGAAACCTGAACAAGTTCGTTTGTCGGAATTGCAGGCATCCCCCGCAACTTTATTTATCCATTCTTTACACTAACGTCTGAGCACCTTTTTTTTAAAAAAGCACCTGTTTTTGAAAACGTTTTAGATATGCGTCGCGCTGAATCACATGCAAGAGCTTTAAAGGGCCCGTCTACAGCATTTTGTAAAAGTTCGAACTTATGGAGACATGCACCTTCCCTATGTTTCAAGAATCTAATAATAGAGCTAAATTCCCTTTAAATCATGGCAGCTATGAACTGAAGATTGATAATACTAAAGAGAGTTTTATGAAATTCATCCAAACCAGGCGTTTCATTAAAAGTTCCTGTTCTAAGGCACGCTTTCTATTAAAAAAAAATTATTGTAGCGCTCAAGTGTGGTGCTGTTCCCAAGCAGATGCAATGGAACCGTTCCTACATTCTATGCACCGTAACCTTATCAATGTTTCCAAATATTTTCTCGAGCAATCTTGTTATTTTTTTGTCTTGGAGATGGCTTCACAATTTCAGAATAACTTGTGGCAGCCAAAGGGTAAACACAGTGATGGGGTGGGTCTGGGACATTGTTCAAAAGCAGAGAAGGACATATATCTGAAAGTTTTTTGTCTTTCTTGTGTTACCAAATGTTCTCTAGCACTGTAGAGCATTTAGACTTTGGCACTCCCTCAAGCCTATTCGCCTCAAATACATTTTGCCCTGTAAGGGACTCGGTATTCAGGGATACCATACAAACCGCCAGGCAGTATTATCATTATAGTGAAGAGTTATCATTATCGCCATCCTCATTCCTGTTTTGCGGTTGAGTAAATTTGTTGGAAGCCGAACGATGACTAAGGCAGAAGGGTAACTGCGGAGAGTGGGAAGGACGTCGCTCCAAAGAGGGGAGCTAGGGAAGAGGAGTGTTGAGTTGCATCTCAATCTCCTCACTCTGCTCCCCATCATGATAGCTTAGCGTTCTGTATATACACATACTCTCTTTCAAATATCTTGTAAGTTGATAAGATGCTACAAACCACATTATTAGGACATAATACGGCTTCTGAGATGATTTTAATGCTTTAAATAATTGACCGGATTTGGATGTAACAACACCAAAGCTAGAATACGGTCAAATTGAATAGATTTGCTTTTTTGGGCGATTTATGTATAATTATCTGATATTTTTGAGCTCATCTCTTTATTTGTGGAATACAATAAATATTCAACTTAAAACTCCTCAGCCTTTGATAGGACTATCTCATAATCTAAAGCTGAATAAGGGTTTATTTTTAAATCAGGGGTTAGTTTTTCTTTTGCTGCTTGTTCAATTTGACCAAGTAGTTATGAGAGATGAAAATCTCTGCACAAGAAAGACATTTTAAATAAATAGTAAAAATGTACCTTGACGATGCCGCCAAAGTTGGAGCTTATCGTGTCAATAAGAAAATTTGCAGCCAAATGTTTTGAAATGGTGTTAGAGGAGTAGTAAATGATAAAATTGACGTCCCTTTTAGAAATATAAATTTTACGATCTGTCTCATCGGCGATTGCTTCTCGGTAATCAGAAATCCTAGTCTGAAGACTACTAACGGTCGAAAATCCATGCCACCTGGAGGGGATACGGCTTCTCGAGACCGAAGTACCTGCGTGGTTCAACACACATTTAAGGGGTGAACCAAAATACTACGCAACTACCGGGGAGTCGTTTGAATTTACATGTATACTTAAAGTCAAGCGACTAACAATTTCCTTTCAAGCCAAATGATTAAATATTACTTAGTTGATATTATTGGGAGGTTGAAAAAAAGGTATGTTAAGCATATCAGATTATCAAAATGAGAGAGACAAGGGCAATTGCATTGTACCTCAGTTCGTTTATTGTCTACAAATGATTAATGAAAGTCACTTCTACCACTGGAAAATAATGGTTAACATTCTAGTGGGTTACCAAGGTAAAATGTGATGGTCATAGACAAGTGTCACAAAATCACAGTGCAATTCTTCTAATATAAAATGGGGTTTCGCAAATGCAACATCAACAAGACACCTGAATTAAATATAGGGGTCGCGGTATATAGTTGTAATGCCTCGGAGGCTTGCTTAAGCCTGAATTTAATTGCCAGGGCTCTTAAGCCTCTGCACATTGTAATTCTGCTCATAAACATGGTCTTAAGGCCATCGCAGTAGCCTCAGCTCTTCTGTACCTTCACTCATTACTACCATATTCTACAATCACTTAAAACAACTTAAGTAACCTCTAAAACACCTGATATTACCATTCTTGGCTCTTTTTGAATATTTTCATAGTATTAATTATGACCTCAATAATAAAATCAGCATTATTTCTATCAAAAATAATTTTTCAACGCAAATAAACTATTTTGTGCAATTTAAAATGCAACATTCTTTTTCACTGGGTTAAAATTTAGCCCCGTTAATGTATACGTAATTTGTTAATAACTATGACCAAAAGCGCGTCTTTCTCGAGGAGCGCGGAAATATATTGCCATAGCACCTATAAGCTTGCTGTGTTTGTTTCATAGATTCCTGTAGAATTATTGTGGTTACGTGATGACTTTATATTTTTGTTTGTATATAGAGTTAAGCATCTTTATTTGTGGCAGCTATTTGCAACTAGGAAGCCTTTTATAACCAAAAGTGATAAATATTTTTGTTTATTCTTCGTAAGTTTCGTATTGGAACCTGTTTGCTTCAACGCTAAACGCTTTTGTACTTTTTGAAAAGCAAGTAATAAGTCCTTTTAAAATTTTATAATTTTTTCACGTCAATATATGTTTCTAACATCATGTGCCTCATTTACTGCATTTCAAAGCGCATGCTCCGAGTCATCTGATTTTTCTCCCTATTAATGCATACGGCACTTTTTTCGCCTCATTATGATGCCTGTCATTTTTAACTTAACAGAAATGTCTTTGTGCCGCGACAAATATGGCACGGGCCTTGGGTCAAATAAGGAAGACTCGACTGATGTGGTCGAGCCAAACTCTCAAGACAATAAATGCCTTCAAGCACAGCAAATAGAAGTTTTACCTGTGAATGACGTAAATCCCTTCTTCAAATCAGAGGTGAATACTGGGAAAGACGAAGAGAGATTCAAATCCCTCTCCTCAAACTCGAATAATGCAAGGATCGTCAATGAATCTGAAGCTCCTTTTGCGGAACAATTTCTTCAGCTCACAAATGTGAGTTATTACCATTACGTTAACAGTCATTTCCTGCCCCACATAAATCAACGACTTTAACTTAATTTAATGCATTTAGAATCTGTGCAGAAGTTCAGTTAATGAAACAGATTGCGTTTGGATCCCTTTGTAGATAAAGACGAAAGGGGGAGATGGCGATGTAGGATCAGACGAGGAGGTGAAAGAGGACGCCAAATTAGGGGACTTCTGGCTACTTCGGCAGCAGTATGCATCACAAGAAAGAGAGCTGTTGCAACTTCGCGAAACGGTGCGTCAACGGGACTCTTGGTGCACTGAAGCAGAAGCAGAGGTAGTGCGTTTGAGAAGTGCTTTGATCACCTCAGAGAAGGCACGCAGCCGCCAGTCCGCCTTACTCTCTCGCAGTCTGGTCGACAGAGAAGTGATCGCCTCCGAGGCCAGAGCCTGTGAGCGGGAGCTCTCAGAGGTGGAGGCCAAGATCCACCATCTTACTGCTGAAATACTCACCAGAGAATCGCGTATTGTCCAGCTTGAAGGTGCGTTCGCATAGTAGAGGTCTGTTTTTCCCTTTTTACTCTCACCTTAGAATTTTAATGTTCGCTAAACTATGCTATACTGGGCTTTCAGACGAGGTAGCGGGGCGTCGGGAGGCAGAGGCGAAAAGTCGTCAGATAACCATGGCTTTTGAAGAGACACTGCGCGAGCAAGCGGAGCAGCTACGCGCCCAATTTTGCACCGAGAATGAGGAAGCTACCGTAGCCAAAATAGACTGTCTGGAGAGAGAAATTGAAAACTTGAAGGCCTCGCACGCCGAAACGATAGATGCCATTACCAAAAGGGATGAAGCAAGGGCACAGGCAGATGCTCACACCATCCACCATTTGCAGCATAAAATAATTCAACTACAAGCCCAGTTGGAGTCGCAAGGGTGGGTAGTAGTAGAAGTACTCTTCATGCTTATCTTTGCATACCGTCTGTCTTTTTGAATCTGTTTCTTTGGCAGGCAAGAAATAGATGACCTAAAAAAGCGTAACAACCGACTTGAAGCAGATCACGAGCACTTTGACCGCTTTAGTCAGTCAATGCAAATACGAGTTGAGGAGACGGAAGTCAAAGTTGTCCGAGAGCGGGCAAAAGCAGACCAATTAGAGGCAGAATTGATTGCCTGTCGTGGTGCACTGGCGTCCTCGGAGCGCAACCTGCGTGACCTCACTTTGGAGCAGGAAGTAGCACGAGAGCGGATTGCTGCTTCAGCTAGGCGTTTCGAGACGATGCATGCGCAGATAGTAGAGCTTGATGCTTCCCTTCGGGCCTCTGCTCAGCAAAATATCCGTAAGTTACTTCATTCACTGACGTCTTGTTCGAGTAGTAGCATCCCTAAATTACCTGTACCATCATTCATAACTAATTGATAAGTTCTTATCAGTGCTTGAGGCCAAGGCAAAAGAAAGTGAGCAAACAATTGAGGTGCTAGAGCGAAGGCTCGATCAAGTCGAGAAGGAAGCAAAGAAGTCATGCGATTGGATACGGCACTTGGAGGAGGAGAATGTCGCCTTGAGGACCACAAATCAACAGCTGAATTGCACAGTTGACGAGATGCGTTCCAGTTGCACCAACTTGAAATGCCAAGGAGAAGATTCTAACCTGGAGATTGCAGAGTTGAAAAGTTTACTAACCAGATTTGAGATGGAGAGGTAGGGACTCATATTGCAGTAAGAAGTAGAATTTCATTGATTCTCCACTTTGAGGTGTTTGTACTTTTAACCTGGTTACTTTATGTTGTTAATTTCAACGAAATGTGCCGTGCAAATACCGGCAGGAGTCGTGAAATGGAGACTAATAAATTTGGTCTGTATATATTGTGCAATTAGGGAAGCCGATGAGGCCATGTTGAGCGAAAGTCTCAGAGTGGCTGGAATCCCCCTTTCCAACTGTTTGGAAGTCCGCAATAGTGAAAGTGAGGAACCATCAAACCTTCCACCGTCTAAGCACACACAAAAGCGTCGAGGTAAGGCACAACACAGTCGTAATTCATTTTAAAAATACATGCTATGTTCAGTTTCAAACATGCACATTAGCTTTATTGTGTGGCTCCAAAGCTTTTTTGTTCGTAGTGGGGATTTGTTCTGATGAATAGACAGTGATTGTGAAGAAGTTTATAACCCTCCACTGAAAGATATCTACTTACCCTTTCACTTTTGTCAGGCAAATGTGTGGGCACCCAAACCGGAAATATCTACTTCTTTGTAATTATCTCAACTGTTTTAGTATTTGGGAAATTGAACTTTCGATACACAGATGAACTATATTACATATGTTAGTACCTCTTTTTATAGTACTAGATGTGGCCAGGGCGGCAGCGCTGCTTACCAACAGAATTGCCTCTGTGGAGGCAGAAAACACACGACTAGGTGATCAGATAGCAACTCAGGAGGCGCATCTAGTAGAACAGCGCGCCCAGACTGCCAGTCTCAATGATAATCTCCTCCAGCTGGAAGCGCATCTTCGCAATGCCAGAGAAGGTGATCGGTTTACAGGGTTTCCCTGTTGTAATGGAGTACTTTGTGACGCGTCTTAGTTTGAGTGATCAAGTGTATCTATCTTCTCTCATTCCCGGTCAATGGAAGCGTGCGTGTTGTTAAACCCCTTCTTTATCAGCCACTTCCTCTGGCTTCCCTATAGATAACAAACGACTCAGCCTTCAGCAGGTCTCGCTAAGGCGACAGCTGGAGAGCCAGAAATGCTCTACCGCCAGATATCGTGAAGAAAAGCACGTACTACAGGAGAGGCTGGCCAGATGCGACCAAATGCTCAAACGCACAGCTTCCTTCAACTCATTTTCGAATCCTGGCAAGGTGATCTCCCCCTTTATTTTAGCTCCTTCCCTGTCTTTTGGGCTATATTTGAACTCCTTCTTCTTGTTTTCTTCCAGTCTGTTAGTGAGTAATTATTTCAAGGGTAGACCTACTTAACATCCCAGAAGTAAAAACAAAACAGGTTGGCCACGAAAGTGGGTAATTGTGTGAATGAGATTTAGGGCCATTTCTAGCTTTAAGAGAATGACAGCATAACTTAAATGGAACATAATAAGCGTTTTGTCAGTTGGCAAAAGATAATGGACAATTCACCTCTCTTACCGTATCTTTATAGTTTTTTAGTGACAGAGAGGTAGAGCTGTTCGCCGAGTTGGCGACTTTCTTTGATAAGGCCAAGGGTGTGTCGAAAGTTCGGAACAAAGGAAACGAGGTTAAACGGAGTCCCACGGAGTCGGCTGAGACAGGTGTCGTGTGCCAGGACACAAGGGTGGTTCTGTTTAGAAATCAACAAAAATAATTTCACAGTATTTTACGTATTTATTAAGTATGACATGTTTTTGTCTTAAATGTTAAAGTAGGGAATAATTTAGTCGTTGACATCACACCTTGATTATTCAGGGCTTACCCCCGTAGCTTCTATATCAGACTGAATATTTGCTATTTTAATGGCTTCAAAACTTCGAAAAATGTTGAAAGGAATTTTCAAGCGCGGATTTTTTACACGAAAATGTGGTTCTTTACTTGAAGTTTTCTTATCACCTATCTAATTTATTTTTTAGTACCAAGTCTTCCAAACATTGAACCAGCTAGTTTTATTTAATAAGGTGCTACCAAGATGACATTAGTTACAGTGCAAGCTCGTGTTATTCCTTAATAACTTGAGAACTTATCCTGCTAGAGTATGATGAGAAAGGTGTATCTGGGCATTTAGAAACATGGGCAGAGTCTAGAGACTGGGAAGTGCGTTTTCTTCCCTTCCTCTGCCTCCTCAGCTCAATTAGCCAAGGTGGCCTCGGCTATAATGGCGGAATGCGTGGACAGCAAGGGTCGCTTCTGCACTGACACATTCCGCTCCCATCTGCGGAAGGCACTAGACATTCCACAGCACACGATGAGCCCTCACCGCTTAAGCCACAAAGTGAGTCGTCACTCGTATGCGGTCTTTTCGCCCTCTCATTGTGTCTGCTTGCTTCTCGCGGAGAGGGATGCCTTAGCGAAAGACTGCTCGCTCGTCTGTTCAATTATTTTCATATCCACAGGTGACCTACTGCGGAGTGGACGGTGAGACAATCTCGGCACCACGACTAAATGGTGATGGTGCGGACAAATGATGCAGACAGGATTGCGAAGTGACCACTACTTACTCTCTTCCTGTCTTCCCAGCTCATTTGTATTAATTTTGCATCACTTTGTGCTGTGATTACCTACTGTTCCTTGATTTTTGCTGACCCTGTAGTTCTGCATAGACACTCACAATTGTAAACTGCAAATTCTTTTCCTTCTTTTTGATTCAACATCAATTGGTGGGTTAAAATGAGAGTCAAGATGATAGCGGTGCACAGTAGTGAACGCGGTCACTATCGCAGATAAGATTTTGGCAAAACGAAGCCTCAAATGCCAAGAATGTGTGTACAATCGACATTAAGCGCCCACTTGTCGGAGCACCAAATTGTGAGTGTCTTCACCCGATACATTAGCGCAATTCAAATCTGCAAACTGATCAATGTGGCGTCCACCCTGTCGACGGGCGCGTAGCTTGAAATAAGAATGCGTCTCTAGCGGAGATCCGCTAAGCAGCGTTTTAACTAGGGTCAACTAATTTGTTATACAAGACGCGTCACTCATTTAACTGACCCTCCTACAGGAAGGTGGTCTGCTCAGCACAGTTTTTACTGGTCTTTGACGGAATGTTAATCAACGAATTTTTTGGTGTTTCAACATTTTAAATTCTGCGTGTCTACGATCGTTTGCTTAAATGACATGTCGTATGTAATTGCACCCTTCAGGTCAGTAAAAGTGGAGGATAATGTCAGTTTCCCGGTGTTTTTTGACCTGGTATATGGTTCATGCTAATAACGTTCTTTCATGTAGTTGAGGACAACTTTTAAAAATTATCTAACTGCAGCCATCCAATACCTCAGCAAAACATCCACACTTCAGCCTTTTAGAAGTTTCCACTAAAAAAGTTAAATTCTAGAAGTTTTACAGATTTGCATTTTCGTTGAGTTCTCCTCATTGGTCAGCGTGACGTAGGGACACACGCTACATACTCTAATAATCGCTTTGGGGGCAAGGCCATACAAATTGATAAAAATGCTTGAAAATGGTGATCATCCTGGAATTCTAGGCGATAGCTACTTATGCGCAGCTCGCACTCTAAGTGTATCTGCTATATCAACATTGAAACCTTTGCATTGTTGTCGCATGTCTTGGGTATTCCTATTAAGACCTCGCCAGTGTCCTTGACCAATTACATTAGCTGGCAATTTGTTATGCATTTTGGCTCCTTTTCTAGTCAATATGGACGGAAATGAAGCCATTCTTTAAAGGAGCGGTGTCGTGTTTTTAAACAGCAGCTGTAAAATTGATGACACTCGTTTGGTCATGGAATCCATGCGACAGTTCCTTCACATTACAATGTACAAAAACGAGTCATTCTAATGCATTAGGCTCCGCATTACTTGATTTTAAGTTTATCCGTTTTATGAATGTCGGAACTGCAAAAGTGTACCACCCATAGGTGATATAAATGCTTGATTCACATGACGAGTCACTCAAGGATTCACCGTCCCCTGAAAGATGCTTCACTCTAGATAAGGAGCAATCGCGTTTCGCTACTGCCGCAGCGATCCGACGTTGGCGTATTAAAACCATTTATACTTACACCGCACGAAAGGGTCATGGAAGCTCCTGAGCAAATAGTTTCCACGCACAATGTTTTGAAAGATGAAAACAATATTTTAAGGTTTCTACGCCCCGAATGGCCCGGATCCTACCACGCCTGCCGGCCAATTAACCAGTGGGTGAAGCCTTCTGCTAGGATGTCTTTTGTTTTTGCATTCAAGGCGGGTGAGTCAGCACAAAGGGGTGACGTGTGGGCACAGACTTTAATGCAGAGTTATGGCGACTGTAGGAAGCTAAGTCAGAGTCTGGGTCATGTGATCGGCTCAGCCGCGACTGCTTATAGTAGTGAATTGACCTTGAGACTAGGGCGACTAGTAGTGTACCTAGACTATAAACTTGGCAAACAGAATAAGCGGAAATGATCTGCAATAATGGAAAGTTCCAGAAAATCCGAGGCTGAGGTTTTTCCCAGGAATCTACGCATCCCCAGCGGAAGTGTATTATGGAAAAAAGCTATTAGTTTATTGATAATTGTTTGACCAGTTCGTGATAAGAAGTGGTTTTTTTATTGCTGCATTGTTTAGAACCAAGTGCGCATTATTAGCCACTCCGAAATGATTCACTCTTCACACGTCTCACACTTTGAAATTAGACACCGCTCCATCCCTACGCTTGCATTGCGCTTGCGCCTGTGAAGAAATACGGGTGGAAATATTTACCCCTTGAAGGTACAAAAGATACGCTCCAGATCTATGCACTTGTGGGGGAACAGTCAGAATCAGACAAGCAGTTGGAAGTCTGATGCGCGATACTTGCCTGTCAAAATACTGCCGTTCTAGGGCAAAAGGGAGGCACTAGCCCGGCCCCCCTGGTATTTCTTAGCGTAATGATCAACGTTGTTTTGGGGTCAGGCCGACGAGACCGACTTAAGAAATACCCAGATGTGAAATACAATTGAAGAACAGGGCATAGTGTGACATTTTGAAGCAAAGCATTACCCGAAAGTGGGAATTAAAAGCTTTTGCTTCGATGAAAAGCGCTGCTTTTTGTCGGAGTTATCTCCAGACCCGGAAAATACACCCGTTTCACTTTTGCAGAACTTTCTTTTTAAAGACTCAACTACAAAATATTCCTCAATTTCCATTCGCTTTGAGTTGGTAAATATTACGGGAAGTCAAAACCCATATATACTAAAAATCACGGCGAATTCCAGATCATACGTAGTGTATAAATGTGTGAGAACGGTGACCATTAGGAAGCTAGACCTTCCATTGAAAGTACGTGCACGTGGATGCCTTACTGCGGTTGCACGTACATAGTCAGCAGGGAAGACGTTTCAACGATTTTTTAGACAAAAAAATCACACCTACTCAATTATATCTTCAGCTTTCTCAAGGCAAAAGTAAGTAAGACTGTAAGTGCACATGAAGTGTTCATGGTATTTTAGTTTTAAATTCAACCAAGGCGGGTAATTCCATTGTTAAAACAAGCGACAAATTTTTGCGAAGCAATGGCGCCTACAATCCAAAGGCTGTGAAAGCGCCAAGTAAGGCAAATTTGTGAGTTGATATAAATTGTTTGCAAACAAGCTAACAAAAAACCAATCACTTTTATGTGTTATTGAAAGTGCAAAGTGAAAAACCAATTATGGTTATAGATACCTCGGTTTAAATGGATCTGTTAATTTTTTTCCAAGAAGAAATACCTACTTGGCCGAATAGTACACATGTTGGTCGTTCAAAGGATGCAAATTAGCACAGGCTACCTTAGAATACCACCGTCGTTGAGTCCATTTTATCCAAGCCAAGGGGGCTGAAACAAAATTTTCACAGGCGACATACATTCAGGGTTGGTCTGGAAAGCAGTAAATGAGCGACGGAAAGACTTCAGGCCCTGAATAAAAATTTGTTTTATAAATTCAAAGCGATTCAAATTCTAAGTACTAATATGAAAAAAGGTAATCTGGTGAGGATTGGCAGAATATCGACTCAGTAACCGTAATACGCGTTTCCTTGTATAAACCTTTCAAAAGACAAGCGATTAGGTTACACCGACCTCGTGACTGAGGGGACGTCACTGGTTACCATGGTAGAGACAACCACCCAATCTCCACAAGAATTTGGTACTGCGAAATTCCATGCCACTTCTTTTGGACGTTTCTCCAGATCCATGGCATTGAAAACGTAGGCATGGCAGAAAAGCCACTAAAATAATACACAGCTACAGCCAACTCCTACTTTTGTACTCCAATTCTGCACTTGTTCTTGTAAGTTTTGGATCTCTACCTTTAAAATGGTTGAGCCTGGTGACTTCAGTATTTGTTTGTTTTTAAAATGGGAAAGGAAGTTTACTAAAATATGAAAAGGCCATTAGAGACTAAATGTTAGTTTGTGAAAAAACTAAATTAGATTCCATATTTATTCTAGCTGTAGATAGACAGAAAACAGCTTCAAAATTGTAGCTAGTTCCATAATTTGTTTCATCAGTTGCTTAGCCGTACACTTTGTCCTTTTTTCCACCTTTTTTTGAAAAAAACTTGGACATTTCCCTCTCTAGACTGCGACAGCTTCATTTCTTACTTTCTTCCATAAACAAATCTTTATATTTCTGGAAAGCTGAAAAATTCCAAATTATTCATTGACGCATATTTTCATGACAGGCCAAGTTATTATTTTTTCAATGCCATGTAATCTCTTCTTTTTAATGTCAGATGTGGAACCGAATTGTTATGCTTGATTAAAAATTCCTCTATCGTCAAAATTAAAGACCTTTGCATTTCAGTAAACTTGCTTTAAAAGGAAAAAAGGGAGAATGGTATCCTTACTACCCCTTTTACATGACGAGAATGGGAGCATAGGTGTACAATTTGAGGGCGAAACCAACTTTGACTGACGTACACACTTGATTTTGTTTTTTAACAGCAAATTATAGAAAAGGCTATTACCAATGAAGATTAATGAGTACCGTGCATGAAACACGGGAGCAACTATTTAAATTGCGATGCATGTACACGACTAGAGGCTGTGGTTGAGGTCGCCATGTTGCCCAACTGACTATTGAAAACCATTTCTCCACCTCCACTATCTACTACTGCCTGATTAATTAGAATAGACTGTAAATATTCCCTCCATGGTCTGACTGTCTTCATGATTTGATGGTCTTGATAAACTGACCAGGAATGCCAATTCACATACACCCCATTAAGTACAAATCATGAAAATTTGACATTTTAGATGACCAGGAAAATATACATTATCTTTTTAAGGCGTTAAGCATCCTTTCTGATAGAGAAGGAGATGTTTCCTCCGTTTTCTCTGATCTCAAAAAGATCACCTTCAGTGGCATGTATTGGACATTCACATCTGCAGCTTTGAAGGTAGATTAATATTCGCTACAAATAGCTAATAACAATACGAAAAAAATAATGCGCATGAGGGTAAAATACTTTTGAAGAGAAAAGAAGATGGTTTTACGTCGCAATCACTTAATTACAATAAAAAGGACGAATTAGTGGAAGTGGGTAAATATGACAATCAGATATATGTATGGAAATTGATGGGGCTAGAATTCCCCTTTACATTCATTGAACAATTTTAATTTCAATATACTCGATAAGATTGCTAATGGTTGGTCGAGGACTCGCTGTTCCCTCACCACTTCCTGAAATCGATGGTTTAGATCCTGAAAGGCAGACACCGAAAGCCACTAAGGTATAGGTTTTAGTATGCCGTGAGCGTGCGAATTTGTGATTCCTTTAAGCATTACAATTGTGGAGGTGTCTAGAATTCCAAGAGACGGTTCTGCTTTGAGTCTTTAAAGGTATCCACTTCTCTGTGGATAATTCCTGAGCCTTCTAGGCCGCCGAACTCAAACTCATCCCCTCGTGCTTTCTATAAGTGCTCGAATAATCATTACAATGTCAAGGTCAATTAAATACCAAAAAAAGCAAGGTTAGATGTCTTTTGTAACCGGGCACTTACTCCCGTGCACAGGCCGTACTTTCGTACTTCTTCCTACAAACCTTCCGGTGTGTAGGAGTCTCGATGGAAGCGTTAGCATATTGGCTACCCTGGTTGGGACTAACTTGAGCATATCAAATGGAACGAAGAGTATTACAGTCTTCTTTAACAAAGCATTTTCTTTCTAACGCTTCCCAATAAAGCAAAATATTTCCATCCAGCGGTTTTTTGTATCAAAGTATATTTTCGCTGAAAAGTGCACAAACTATGAGGCTGCGTATCTGATTCTTTCACTGCAGCCTGATTCGTGCCACACAAAGAGGCGCTGCTGAGGCTCCTTTTTCTCCTCCTTCTCCGTCTCTTTTTTGTTCGCTTGCTTTACAGGTATCTTTTCTATCACCTACATAGTTTGATTACTTTCCTTATAGTTTCGTACCTTTTCCAACAGAATCTAAGAAATAAATAGAGCAGAAAATAAGTTTCGTTGTAATTTAAATCCAGAATTAAAATTAAAAACAAAACTTGATTAATCGTCATCTCTGAATTGTAGGTTTTTATTGAACTAGAGTGAAGGATATCTATACGTTAGAAAAAGCAGCATATTTTGCAAATGGCAAACTTGAAGACGTGAGTTTGTAGAACGCCTCACCTTCTGGTTTTATTGTCCTTCTCATTTTAAATGTATCACAGCAAAAGTAAGGGTTCACTGTACATCCACGTTTGAAAATCCTTCCTAATAGAGATTAAGTATCCCTAGTAAAGCTGTAACCATTCAAATTTAGAAGTGCTATTTGCCAACTAAGGGTCAGTATACTGTCATTCCTAGATTCTGTGAGCATATTAAAGACAAATACTTTTCATAATCCACAGTTTTTCACTTAATATGTGCTGAAAATTAACAACGAGTTGTCGTAGTGATTCAATTATTGCGCTTTCGGACAAAATCAAGTTTCCGGCAACTTCTCCTTTTCCGTTTTGATTTTGATGGTTAGTCAAATATATGACAGTTTAAATATGACTTCTAAAGGAAATTGGAGTAACTACCCTTAAAAAGGAGAAGTTTTACTCTCACTTCTTTAAATTTCTTACAGCAAACATGTTCTACCAAAATGCGGCTTGTCTTCTTCAACTTATTATGTTTCATTCTTCAATATTCCATTTTATATTCCTAACCAATACACAATTAGTTAAATAATTGGTTAAAAGGGATGTATTACTTGTAGGAGTTGAATCTTGGTAAAATTGTAATGCTCCAAAGTCAAAATTTAAAAGGAAAATTTCCACATGAATGAAAAATCTTAAGTTTTTTAAGAAACTACTTGTACGAAGAAACTGGGATTGCTGGCTAAATGTTGTCCACATTTTAAATGCAGTCTACCCTGTCACTATTTACATGTACCAAAGGCAGTTGTAAGGGCTTAGGCTATTGGCCCTGACGAAATTAAAACTAGAAGAATGTCACACTTCTTTATATCATGGATTCGTAATTTTTTGGCTGCGCTGAGCCTTGATGTGTTTCAGAGTGTGTCCCATTATATAACAGGATTATATTCAATACTTGTTTAATTCATCGCAATTAACAAATATCTTAAAATCTTCTCAATTTTGTACGACGAGTCAATTTGAAAAGGAAGGAATTATCTGTTGATCACTTTTGATTTAGATGGAGGCTGCCAGCTATCCTTAAACTAGGCTGTAGATTCGAATTTCGGTGAGCTACTACGTGGAATTCATAGGAAATCTTACAACAAAACATCTATTGACGGAATTCGCCCTCTTGAACCTGCTTAGCTATTCATTAACCCGCCACATTTTGACCGTGTTTTTTCAAATTTCCACTACTTTTTGATTTAGTTTGTGCTTATATGCAATAAGCAGCGTAAGGAATGAAAGACAACAACAGGTCTGAGTCAATTTTATTTTATACTTTGTGGATAAAACCACATTCTTAAGACGGAGAGCGATTTGCTAATAGAACAAGTTTCCTGCTGCAAAGTGAATCAGAGTATTTTCTGCCTATTTTAATTCCTACTCTCTAAAGTCAAACCCTCCACTTACTCTACGAGAAAGTAAATTTCCACCACCACTCCAGCTGCGGGCGAATTCATGTCTTGTTAAAGCAACCGTATTACTGATAAAAAGCAAAACTCTTTAAAGACAAACACTTTTTTGTTAAATATAAATGTATAAATCACAGGCAGAACTACTTAATACTACGAAAAATCTCTTTCTTTGAACACAATGGTATTGATTACACCTTTTATTTCTAGAAAAGCTGCTCTTGTAATTGCTGTGAGGCAATGAGATGAGTGACTCGAAAGTGTAATACATTTTTTTTCATAACACATGCTAGGCGATGGAAGGGTAGACTACAGCAATCTCTTAGCTGTTAGACATCACTGATTCCTAAGGAGAAGAAAAATAAAAAAAAATCTTCCTTCAGCCAATCTCTTCGCTTTAGGTGCCTGTATACAAAGGCGGAAGAGAGGAATGGGGAAAATATTGCAAATGAATAACTCACCATGGCAATTTAAAACGGACAATCTAGCCTCTCCTTTGGGTCATAATTCGCTAATGGCTAGCAGCGTGTTTGCAATATAGCTTAAATGAAACGGATGAGAAGGCGCTTTTAAACAATGCATCACCTCTGTTAACTTATCACGTAGAACAAATGTCCTTTTCAGCTAATTAATTGTGCATTTATAATATTGTTTTATTTCCCAACATTTTTAGAAAATATATGTTTCAATACATGCTGTGAACAGAGCTTTGTATTAAAAGCAAATTAAAAGGATAAGCAGTCAGAATAACTGGAGTAACCTGAGTGGGTTATTCACTGCAGACAGACCTTTATTATAAATTGGAGGTTACACTACAAATAAGGGCTTAAAAATGAACGAATTCTCCACGTCGAAAATAGAGCCCATTCAAAGTCGGGAAATTGGAATGTAGTGCTGAAACAAATACCTCTTTTTAGGAAACTAATATTATCCACCAGAAGTGTATATTTTTGTTAAATAATAAAACGTATTTTGAACAAAAAACAAATCTTGCAAGTGGCTGATAAATTTTCGTGCTGTTTATTAATTAACGGCTCAAATAACCTTAAAATCAATGCTTTTGAATTTGACAGAACCTATTGATTGATTACTTCACTGACAAATAAAATTTGTGCGCCATCTTGTTAACAAATGGGTGAAATCGTTGGTAAGTGCGCAAAGAGGACGAATAAAGCTAGCAGTTTGGAGAAGCGGACAAAGCGGCATGAAATTAGGATTAGCCCTCCAGACGATGACACAGGAGAAGTGACATTACGCAGCAAGGAGAAGGGAAATATGCCAAAGAAAATTAAGCCAAAAGCTAAGGTGAAGGATGAGGAATATGATTCTGACTTTTATGAAGGATCATTTCGCAGTAATCCAACATCCTCTTTACTGTCATCAGAAGTGATGACGCCATGCACGGTGAGGCCGAAGCGTACATACCGACATCCACCCTCACCAGGGTTGCGAATCCTTAAGGAGGGACCAGAAGAAACAGAACGGCGTTGGTACACCAAGATTGTCTGCTTGGATGCGGGAGTGCACTGCTGGTTGTGGGTGGACGAAGCTAAGACTGAGGTTTTCCTTAACTCCGGGGACCGTCGCCTCATTGCCATCGCCCGACGATGCGACTGCTTAATCGAGCTCAGCTCGGATCAGCGCTACCACGTCCATAGGGGGCTTCAAAGGCGAATCGACATATATGCCCGCAATGACAGGTGTCTCACAAAGTGTCTTAACTTATTGGAGGAGACGTTCTGCAACTTCTGCTTGCGCAAGCTCACCTTTTCCTGTTAGCGGCAAATCACAGTTGCTGTTTCTCACTAACGCGATAACCTCACACCCACACACCCCATACGACTGGAAAGCCTAAATTAACTGGCAAAAGGCAACTTTTATCATCTTTCCTCATCTTCCTCATTTGTTCCATCCCTCTTCACCTTACACAAAATCGAGGCGAGTTTCCCAACATCTAAACAGTTTTGTCTTCTCAAGGCTCTTTTATCTTTCCTTTTATCTCTCTTCTCCACTCTCTGCTTCTAAATCCTATTTATGCCCCTTGTTGAAGCAGTAGTGTCGTATCTTCCACTTGCTGGTTAGCTACTACCCATTTAGACCCTCTCTCCGTCTCTCTGCCTCTATCGTTCCTTGCCTCCCTCTCTCTTATACTTACACCTTCCTCTATAGTTGAACCCATCCCTCTCAGCTTGCCAATCTTACTCCAACAGACCGACCGGCCAGATCTCTTGCCCTCGTAGGAACCTCCTCCCTCCCACAAACCCATCTTCATTAAACCCAAGGAATGTCTCCTATCCTGTACAGGGTACATCCGGTTTTCTGACATGATTTGCATTCTTCACACCTTATTGTGTCTGCATATTTTCCACGTGTATAGAATAACCAGGTGCATCTCACTTGATCTTGTTTTACTTTCTCGTTCAGTTAGAAGCATTGGTTGCATTTGGGTAATGAAAGGGACACGGTAAAAACAAGTGACGGTATAAAGTGTGAAAGAGTAGCGCTTACAGCTGTCAAAATCCACAAATGAAAACTTTTCAATTTTGTTTTACTGTAAATGAGCTTTTGTAGCTTGAATGAATTTTATACCTTGTTGTTGATTTCTGAGCACTATATTTAAAAAGTGCATTTGTGGGATATCTGTATGCGTCATTTTCGCATGTAAAATGATAATGAAGTTGTAGTTACAAGTTTTTTTTAAAGACGAAACTATATATTTTATAGGTGATTCCACCTGATTTCACACTCCATAGAAGTACGGCAATTGTTCAAAATTTAGTGATCCTTAAACCAAGAATATTTATATTTCTCAAAAAACTGTAATCTTGAGACAGAGAAGAGTTAATTTTGTTTGACCGACATGTTTAAGTGTATTTTGAAATTCCATAGAGACAGTATTTTGTGCCAAACGTATACATAATTTTCTCAGGGAAATGAGAGATATTATTTAATCCACGCAGGCTATACTTGATGTAGACAACAAATTGCATACTTTTCACTCCATTTTCTGGATGGGGAATGGGTCTTGCCAACCAGATAAGCAGTGGACAAAGAATTAGAGGTTGATATTTTTATTACGGATGTAATGAGTAAGCGAAGAAAGTTCGCTTATTGCTATGTGAATGCGGATAGAGAGTGGAGAATGCCGAAGATTGAGTCTGCATGTAACTGTAGTAACAGATTGACCTTGGCCCTGTTTGATGTAAGACATGTAGGAAGTACTGAGGGACAGCTCAACATTCTAGAAATTCCGGAGATTGCCAATCAATTCAGAATTTATGGAAAGTCAAGCAAGAATTATTTCCGCAGTCGCAGGCATCCTTAGCACCTCCAATCCCCGAAAAAATAAATACGGATGATCTCTAGGGTGAACATTTAATCATTCTACTTTATGCCTTTATTTACATGACCACCACACCTATCTGTGAAGCAGGCGCCAAGGATATAGACTGTATTTGGAAGTTGTCTGAGAGTGTTTATTGGTAGAGTGCCATATTGATCTGTCCTTTCCAATTTTAAGGTAGAATATGATTTCGCTGTGTTTGCGCACTCTTTCCGGCAAAACATTTATCGTGTACTGGCTGTTAATTACGGGGGTAGATGTCAGTGTCTAGTTGAGACTGTCAGTACAGATCCACGGGGAGTGTGCACGGCCCTAGGAATATGGTTGCGTTGAATGAGCAAAGCTTACTTTTTATTGCCACTTCAGTCGGCTATTTCGTTCAGATTTATTTGGTGTAGTCTGACATATCATTCAAAGTCCTTGAAACACATCGTGACTTCACTAATGCTCGTTTAAGGGTGTCAGTGAATCTCTGCTTGTCCTTTTGGGGATAAAAAGATGTAGAACGAAAATACGTAATAGTATACTGACAAAAAAGTCATAAAAATTCTGCCAAGTGAACTTCATTTCGCTGTCTGTAACCCATGTCTCCTTTGCGATATATGAGGATTTGAAGCAGCATTAGAAGCCTCTTTTTGGTACTACTTCCAGCCACTTCAAAAGGCATCTACCAGAACGAAGTAGGAGGTGCCAATAATTAGACCAGCAAAGTAGAGAAATAGCTGTGACTAAGGCGATGGTGGAATTCTTGAAAAATTCCTTGCCACACGTTGCCAATATTGACATTTTTAAACTAAGTGGGCGATACTCTCGCCCATGTGTGACCAGTCAGCAAAAATTGTGTTCATGAATTTTGTGCGATCGGCGCCGTGATGGGCGCTATGAACTTCCGAAGTGCTTGCGGAAGTAGTGGCTTGGTAAACCAACATGGTCGCCAAGCATCAGGTAGCTATGCTTGAGCAAGGGAAGTGTTCAATTATTAAATGAAGTCCACTGCCTGCATTAATGCTTTGTCGGACTTTACTGCCTCTTGAACTTCAACGGCAATCATTGGAAGAGTCCGAATGACATGGATAAAGTATTTCCTAGCGGTGTCCTCTGCACAAAGCGTTACGACTTCAGTATCTTAAATTGCAGGCCATTCGTTGATGAGGCGCAGGAGGGTGTCAACTTAGCAATAATTTGGAATTGGAACTTTTCTATATTTTGCTGCAGATTTGGGTGCTGAAAGCCATCAAGACAGAGTCTGTGTTACCAACGTATTACCAACGGTAATTTACTCAAAAATGCCGAAATGTAATGTCACTCGCGTGCCCTTGAAGAAGGTTAGACAGTAATATCTTGCATCAGTTGTGAGCACATTGTGAACTCTCAGGTGGGGATGCTATCCAAAATGAAGAAAAGCCACTGCGTTAGCTGACCCATTCAACTCAATAACGTAGTTGGATGAAGTGATTTCAAGTGGTTGTCTAAATGAGTCTATTTACACATTCGTTTTCTCCTTCTCCTCTTAAAACTACCATTTAACACAGTCGCGAAATTTCCTTCGACTTCTTAATTGAAGGACTTTAAACGCGGATATATACAATCAGTGGGAGGCATTGGAGAAGATCCCAAATGCCAAGATTAAGGGCTCTAGTCATAACCGAGTGAGAGGGAGAGACGTGGAAATATTGCTCTTCACTGTTCATCCGATCTGGCTGATAGTACCTCTATCGGTAACCAGATAGGGTGGTGAGTTTACAAACATGGTCATCTACCGCAGCTCATTCAGCACGCCTTATCACTGTTCATGCTAAGGTGTATTAATATTGGCTTCAAGAGCAAAATATAGAGAGACTCCTTTGCCACCAGTTTGAATGGGACGGAAAAAGAAGGAAGGCACTCTATTTGGGGTAGATGATGCTGTATACGATAATGAATTTTATTAGCAAGTACTAATAATACAGGATAATGGACCCCATCCTTAAGGTGGGCAGGCATCTTTAGCATTACTTCGTCTGTAAATCACTACAGCCCTCCATTCTACTGTGAATCATGTAATAATTGCAAAGGCATTTGAAGAGCCCCATTGAAAGGAAGCCTGCTGTTGGCAAATCTTATGCAGTAAATAGCGATTATATAGTAACAGCGACTGTGCCCTAATCATCAAAGTACTATGAAGGTCTAGTAGAGGGAATTGCTCTTTCCTTTTACACAACATATGGGTTATCAGGTACGCCGAACCGACCATGCCTATGAGCACCGACGTCACTCATGTTTATAGCTCACTGAAAACAATTTGACATCGCCTTGTGGCATGGCAAGCGATTAAGTAATTGGTTAAACAGAAGGTGATTCAGGTATTTGACCGCACATTGGCCTAGGCAAAAACAGGTGGCGTTGTAAGTGGCACTGATATATCACTAATGGGGCTCCATTCATTCCACTTTTTTCAGTAATTGGAAGTATGTTAAACTGCAACTACTCGTTATTTTATTGCGGATCTGCGATAGCTCAATATGACGCCCTTTGACTCTCTTAATAAATAAACGTGAAAACATTTAAAACATGCAGAATATTTGGCCCATGCCGAGCAAAGATGATTGTTCTGTCTCAGCGAAACTTCGGTAGTTTGTAGAAAATTTGCATTTCTCACGAACCACTAAATTCACAGTGAATAGACATAGTGGAAGTTTTGTCTCACCAGAGATAACATCATCTCCCTTTTTGCCTAAATGATATAATGGGATAGAAAACTTTTTCTTGCCTCTCAGAAGACTTTTTGTAATCATAAGGGGCAAGTAGTAAACTGTTGCCAAGCAACATTGCCATTAGATTCGACATGACAATAAACTACGCCATGACATCTTATAGCCAAATTTAACAAGTCACATTCAGCTGGATTTCATTTTATTTTTGCATAGGAGGCAAATGCTTCCAAACACTTAAAATTAGTAGCAATTTGAAGATGACCTGATAATGCAGGCATGTTTGCTAATGGCTGGTTGGAAGTGATGAGCATCTAAAGATGCGCGCCAAAGTGGTGACCTCCATTTCTGTGCCTTTTTGTCCCATTACAATGCATGAAAGAAAATAGAGAAAAAGCATGAACAAACACTTAAATAAAGGTTTTGAGTGAAGTAATAAAGGAATGTGAATGAGTATTTACGTTCAGCGTATCTACAGTCTGATAATTGATCTCGTCTGAGACAAACTCGATCGCTACTACAGTAAAGCCAAAATTTAATTGTAGTTAGCACATACTTTGCAGTCTGCATCATTCAAAATGGAAAATTAAGGTAAGAGGGATGGTTGAGGCAACTGGAGGGATGCTAACCAGACGCTGCCTCTAGTGTTGGAAGTTTGTTACCCACTTAACGGTGTCACGCCTTATGGAACGAGGTGAATTGAACATGAACGTGATTCCGATGTATTGCCTCAAGCGGCTTTGTAGGAAATGCTTAGTACTACAAGGCATAAAATAGGATATTATGGAATGGTTTAGGACAATGACATGCAAAAATGTACATATTAGCGATGAATGCACTGCCCAGGACATTATGGCCATAGCCTAGATAGGAGTTATTTGACCCAGACGATTTGGGGCGCATTTCATTAAAATATTGATGTTATGCAGTGTGCTCTTTGTTTTAGCTAATTTAGAGTCTTTCAAAAGGACACGCTTTCCAATAGCATTTCAATGATCTGTTACGTGTTCAGTATTTGATCTCAGTAGGGTGATGCGCGTTAAATCTCATGAGCTCGTTACCATGACAATTGTCTAGCGCTAATGAGGTAATGGCTTGATAAGCAAGTGGAAAGGATATAGAGGGTAGATAACTGGCTACGCCACATTAGTCGGTTGCGATTTGCCCATACATGTCCTGTGCTATATTGTAGGGTGTTACCTTACAGTATTAAGTGCCAATTGTTTAACTTAAATTGTATCAATTTTACCAGACAGGTAAAAGACAGTTGAACCAATATACCCAAAATCAACTTGTTTAAATCAGGGCTAGCCACCTTACGTTGGTAAGTAGTAAGCTCTGCTATATTACTTGGAAGCAAACTAAAAAGTTGGAGATATGGAGGTAATCAAAGGGTACTCACTTTCAGAATTTTAATAGCGTTTTTAAATTTCGCCTTGTAAAATAGGTAATTTATTTCCACTGAACGACAGATACGCAATTCTTGACAGTTCATGCTTTAAATTTACTTTCAAATTTGTCTATCATTCAGGTGCTCCTGCATCTTGAACCCATTTTATTGAGGTAGTATCCACCTGACATTATTTAACACAGAGTTACTCTAAGAATGCACATTTGCCCATTCCAGCAAATAAGTTTAAACGCACTTTCTGTCACAGCCCACTTTATTTGAACTCGCAAAGCACAGACACCTCTTTTATAAAGCTCTACTGATTAAAAAATACGAGAAGAGAAAGGAATCAGCTATGCAGTTCTCTTGATACTTACAGACACGAATCTAATAAACTCTTCCTAGATTTTTTCCTTCTCAGCTTAATAATCTTTCACCTTTAAGCTGCGATGTCTTCTGAGAGGCTCGAAAGTGATACTATCCTAGTTCTGGCAAGAATTTGCGGAAAGTGGAAGTAATTTTAAAGAATTTGTACCAGAATGTGTGAAAAGATACTTTCACCTTTAGCAAAGTTTAAAATATCTTTTAATTTAACAGATTTTTTGTCAACGTGCAACTTGAATTTTTTCCAGTAATTGACAAGATTATGGAAGGAGAGCGATATTACTGATGTAAAGATCATTAAGAAGCAGTCTAAGCATGCATTTTTAAAATGTGGTTTCACGTGCTCCACTGACATGGTTATCTGCATTAATCTGAAAGACAGGGCTTTCGTTTTGTGCACATTGCCCGGAATTTTCAGCAGAGAGTGGATTAACCACCTGCGGCACTGAAGTGATATCCGAAATTAGACATCCAATTATATTAGCTTATGAAAGGAAAACAACTTATTTCCATGCACTAGAATAGCTAAGCATCTGACCAGGAAAAATATTGACAGATCCTAAGAAATGTTGCAGAACCTATGTGTAATTCAGAATCTTTCACAGTAATGAAACAAAATATGACTGCAAGCATGATATTTAGCAAAGTGCAATACAAACAACTTAACAGATGGTATCCTACTAAATCAGCATCAGTAAAAAATCTGGAATGTCTGCGCGAATGCCGAAGCAGCACTGGCAGTCGAGAGTGACTCAATGAGATTGGTTAAGCAGACGCGACGATGACACAATGACATTTATCTGTCATGATTGCCCAAACAGACACGGAAGTGAACATCAAATATATAAAGATGCATCGCAATCAGACTTGTTGCTAATTCAGCAATTATTATAAGAAGTCAGAAATTTATTCATGCAATGGATTTTTTCGCCCTTTTTATTTAGCTGATCAATGGAATCACCAAATAAATCCCACCACGTAGAAATCTGGAAAATTATACTGCAATATTATGCGCAAACCCACTAACCGTTTACCGCGTTGCAGATGTTCTACTTTCAAAATGAAGAAATTTTAAGTACGTAAGAAAATTGTGCGACTGGTAACAATTAATTCACAAGGGTAGGCGTTAAAACAACCCTAGATTGTCTTCCTTTTCGCAACAGTTCGTTCGTGTGGATCTACAATTCTACATCCATGAGCCTTAATGTTACTCTGGCTAGACCCCACAATGTTTGTGTTGTCGGAGGTTAAATTATTTCTTTGCCGAAATCGTGATTACGAATCCAAAATAGGGTGCAAATTTCCTTAAATCATGCAAGTAGTCCATTTAAAAATGTCAGTATGGGTTAATGAATTCAGCACACCACGAACGGAGACATTTTGTGTTTCAATTAAATTATAAAGGACTATTTGCTAATTCGTAAAAATATAAAATAAAGCTCATCCTCTATTTCACCTTCAATCATTCACCATAACCGGACTCACTTTCTTCCAAAAAATGAATATGTAATAACGATTAAACTATGTGTAATCTCTTACGAATATTCCCTTGGTTGTCATTTGACTCAGAGGCGGTACACAACGAGTACATGCCAATGTTAGGTGAATTCGACGGCAAGAACAAACTTACGCATGGTTTTTGGACTTTGACCTCTGTTCTACAAAAAAGGCAACGTGTGAACAGGAACAAGTCTGTCTTCATCGAAGCATGCCAGGGTCATCGTATCAAAGAACCCATGGCATCTAATTCAGCCTTTTCTATACAATATGGTAATCATTATTATTAGAAAACAACCAACATCAACGCTTCTTACAATTGTTAAACAAATTTCTCTTAATACTGCCAGATATAATTTGACGTAGCTTTGTCCGATTAGCTGCAACCATCGCTAGCATCGTTAAATGAGTGAGGAAGTTAAAGGCGTTTGGGTATTACTTTAAGGCTTACATTGCCAGTTTAGTTAGAATTGCAAATATTAAAACAGTGTGACTTCTAATCACAAAATATTAACTGACCTTATATAACAAATGCAGCAGTTGTTTAGGAGTCATTTGGCTTATGTCCAGTAAATGATTGCAAACCAAGAATGTATTGGCAATAATAGATAATGCTTAAGTGCTAATTAGACTTAATTGTGGTAGTCGATTCCGATGAAGTTCGACTCGGCAATAGATAATTTGTGGCAGAACGACACCTAACTCTATTAAAGTGGAGGCTACGATCCGTTTATAGACCATTTGACGGTATACATGTGATTGAAACCTATACAATAGGCAAAACTAAAATGGGCCTTGAGTTATTTGTCGTGCGCGATGCATGCAGACGTGCATTAGATTGGATTAAATTCTGAAATACACGCAAAAGCACCTTAAAGTTCTACTATAATTTAGAAAATAATAATCCATAACAATGAAAACCAGGAGAAATTTACTCAGGTGAAAACTGAGGTTACAAATAATGTCGGGGCAAATGTTCATTGCTTCAAGAACAGGTGGCTGATTTGAATGCTAAGTATATGAATTAAGTATAGCACGGTGTGATTCAGTCCATGGGACTTTTGATTTACGTCAGTAGACCCATTTTAGCAAGGACTGGCTCTTCGCCTCCAGTATACACTCCCTTTCCCTTTTCGTACTATATTAATGTCTGTCTTAGGCTGATTTTAATAAAACTATGGGCGCGGGCATTCCAAATGATCACAGTCTAGAGAGAATTGGTCATCATTAAGGAGTGATGGAAAACTTGGGCAAGCATTTTGTTGTAGAAAAATTTCCCGCATGTTAGAGTACCAACCCATGACCCTTTGCACAATCGACTGGCTTTCCTTATTTAGGCTAAATATGGTCTAGAAGATATTGTTTCACCTTTTACTCTATTTATTGATATAAATGCACCATGAGTGTCCACATTTGACACCGCAGACAAAATTTTTCAAATTTTAAATTGACCTTATAGGTGATTTTAGCATAAGTTTCAGAATACTCCCCAACAACTGATACCTTAAATGTTTAATTTTGCCACATTTGGCAGTTAATCTGTCAAACTGCCTTTTAAATTTATAAATTTAGAAAATAAAATGAACGATCCCTCTTCTACTTTTTTTTGATTTCTTTATTACTGACAATGGCTGCTTTGGAGGTTTTAAATTTTAGTCTACTCATCACACTAAATTCCAAAATTGTGAACTTACGTTATGACTGGACCCATTCAAAGACAAAATACCAACGGCTATAGGATCTGTTCATCGTCTTATATCTACTGGAAATTCGACAATGAAAATTGTTTGAAGAAGCAAAGTGGTTATAAAACGCGCCATAAACCGAAATAATATAAGAAGGTCAAATACAAACAGATTTTCTATGCTGGCATAGTAGCTTTGGGCGTCTCCATGCTTGCTCTGGTTCAGAGCGGATTTATAAGATGCGAAACTCAAATTCTTTACATTTACTGGTGATTCCCTGCTTCATTACTTAAATAGCTCAAAATATGCATACACACATATATACATACCTTTGGCAAATAAAATTAGGTGAAACTGGCTGCAGCGCTAGTAATCTATTTTCAAAAATTACCCTAAAGCGGTTTTATCAAGCATTTAGAGCATGGCCAATCGCACAATAATGTACTTCTAATGCCGACCTGTCATTGGCCTTCTTATCATCATTCCCAAATGTTGAAGGAGTTCGTCTTTAATATTTTCCCATTTATTTTACTACATGTTCCTTTTCCAGCAGTATAAACTTCTACATAAAATGTTACACATCTCGCAGGTACCATTTAGCAATGTCTAACCCCTATGCATTTAGCACTTTGGTAATATTATATTTGATCTGTGATCTCTGCATGTCGAAGAAAATATAACACCATTTCTTAAATAGCTTAATAAATAAGTAAAATGGGAATAATAGTCAACCACGGGATTTGGATTATCATTAAACCCGCCTCACTACCGACACCTGAAATGATATCCAACAGGCGACAGAGAAAAATGGCTAAATTGGTCTCTGTAAGGAGATGAGCATGTTGCAGTCACGCATAGTGACGGTGAGTATTTGAAGGAGATCTCTTTTGTAGAGATTAATTAGCTTGGCCATTAGAAGTTTCAATTCCTTCTTGGTCAGACAGGAGTTGACGTAGGGCAACCAGCCGTGATCGATTTCGTCGTTCTAAAACATACCGGCGCATTAGGCCGTGGCTGGCGAGGCTGGTATCAAGTATTTCGCTTTAAGCGCAGCAACATCTGTGGTTAGACCCAACAGGCCGTGCATCTAGTGCCTAAGGCAGCATATTTTAACCCAAACTATGCACTTTTGCTAGTGCAAACTGTCGTAATTTTACAGACGCTTTACACTAAAATGAAAAGAAAATAAGAGCCTGAAATCATTTTGAGTGAGCGTAAAGATAACTTATATGATTTTAAGAGTCAAACCACACCGTAGTCTACTGCAAAAGGAATCCTTTAAATTATAAGCAGTGTGACATTATTTCATGCATGATTTCATTACCTATATGCATTTTCCGTCGGTTGGAAAGTGAATAATCTGATTTGATGCAGCTGTTTTACCATTTAAACGTCGACCGAATTGTGGGCCTTCAGCAATTACTTCAAGCAATTATGCGGAAGTGTTTGACGTAAGGTAGATTGCATATTGCAGTTGTATCATCAGGAGGACTGATCTAAAAATAGAGGTAAAGATACTTTCCCCCACAGAGGAGTCAATATTTTACTACCATTCAAGACCGAGATAGTCAAATTTAATGAACCTATTCCATTAAGTCTGATAATAACAGCAATGTGTGCACTGTTTTACAAAGAAAAATGCAATTTCCACTACTATGGTGGTGAACCTTTGTAGGATTTTCCCTGCTGACATAAGCGTTACTACTTTGCCACAGCATTTACGAATATTCGTCACCAATGACGCAGCATATTAATTTAAGCGCCACTCGAAAAGCATCTTTTGCATTAAGACATCTAACCTGAATGAAAACAAGAGGACATACTTTGCAAGCGTCGAGACCTTCAGCAAAGAAAATGATCTCAGCTATCAAAGCGGAGTCGAGTGAATTTATGACGATGGAACACAACATGGGCTTACTGTCATTTGGGAATTCAGCGTAACTTGTGTAATCAGGTCTCATGGGAGTAAATCTACCATAAGATCAAATTACATTGCTCATTCTTTCCTTAGACAGAAAGCTGATGTTAAATTGTAGCTTTTTTGCCTACAACAAGGCAGCCAGTACCGACAGGATGGCCACAATTTGCTGCATTAAAATCACTTACACTTTACCATTAATACGTAAGAGTAGAATAGAAAGAGACATGACCTGATCACAGATGTCGTATTTATGTTAATATTTACAAATAAAGAAGGTGGTATGGACTATACATCGACTTTAAGGGCTACTGTTTTGGGGGATTATCCGAAAAATCTAAGCAGTACGCCATTCCCTTTAGCAGGGACCCTGGCGAGATCACGGACCGTTGATTTTTAGCATTTATATTTTATTCCAGTCATATTAAATGATTTCAGACAATCAGTTTGTCCTTCTGCTTCTTCCTAGACGTTTACAGTAGATATTTTTGTTATAGTAGCGATTTGCTTGTAAGAGCAAGCAGTTGAGCTTAAACAGAGTTGACTCATATTTAATATAAAATTAAAAATAAAGTAAATCAAGTGCCATAGACCAAATACTTTGTGATTTAAAATGCAATGAGTAATTCGAAAGAATGCACCTTTATAAATTCTTATACTCAAGTAATTCTACAAATTTAAGGAACCTACTTTGCTGGTAACTAAACCAGAAGCATTCGAGAGCCGAGGAATTCAGGTTTCAAAATGCATCAAAATAAAATTAGGTTTTAAAGTATCCTTTATTACAGGATGTGCTGAAGGACCCGAATAATCTTAGCGAAAGTCGACGCTCGGACAGTGAACTATACGGTATCACTATGACCCACTATCCTTCTCATTTCACTTGAAGCTAGGTCAAGAGGTGCCAACACTGTGAAGGACTCACCAAATGATCTTCAAGTGCACTAACAAAGTTGTCAGTAGATCACTGTCTGGAGTGATTCTTGCCTTAAGCTACAAGTGTAAGTTTAATGGCAGCCGCATGCTCTCAACCTTAATCATGCATCCCTCCATGCCCAGTTCCTTTGTTCTCGCCTATGACAGATCATTTATGACTGCAAGACGAATTTGTATTATAATTGTGGAAACTTTGTCGCTGTGACCAAGGTTTTGCCCCATGCTTTTTCGAATGGTTTCCCAATCCTGAAGGTGAATTGCATAATTGCTCAGTTTAGCTATCACAGAAATCATTCTTCCGAACTGGTAAAAGCGATCCCTTCTCCCACTTTGTACCCCCAAACGAAGACTCAGACAAACACCTCGTTCAATTTCATAGCCAAGAAATGGTTTAAAAATGACTACAATAACTGTCCGTGTTAGATTTAAGGTTCAGTCCAGTTTTATGAACAGTTATGCAATTCCTGGGACAGTAGCTGAAACTATATTTCCTTTACATTAGTAAAGAAATCATTTACCGAAATGCATTGCCAGATGAATGTGTGATCAGCATTATAGTATCACAACGATGGGCATTAGGTTGTTTTCCACTTCGATTAATTCTCCCTTTTCGATGGAAATCTTTTTAACAATCTGTAGAATTCAGCTAAGCACGCTTTCTTTTTTGGAGCATAAGCCAATGTCGCACTGAATGTCCACTAAATACAACTTCAATAAAATAATTTATGTGGGAAATAATGTGTCTTCCCAAGTCTGCATATGTGAAGTATCACCATCCAGCAGTGTTGAAGCCGTCCTACCGCATCACCCGGCGAGCTTTGCGCAGTTCGGTTACGCAAGCAGAACTAGTCATCACTGTTGTCATTGCATAAAGTTAATAGGAGTAACCAACTGGCATTCGATTGGACACAGCGTTGTCCAATAGCATTTAAAGTAGTATAACTATGAGGTTATTTACTGATGCGATTAGTTAGTTATGGCTCTAACATCTTCAAGCGGGTTTGCTTCGTTCGCCTTAATACTTCTCTGCCTATTCTCTAAATCACTCTACTGTTATAAGAACAAGGTTATTCTAGTTTCCTTTGACGGCTTTCGTCATGACTATCTAGACATCGCCAAATCAGAAGGCCTCGATATCTCGGCATTGGAGGCCCTTTATAAGCGCGGATTTCGCGGTCGAGTTGTGCCAATTATGCCCACAATCACCTTTCCGACGCACTTTTCAACAGCAACTGGGCGTTACGCTGAGAATCACGGGATAATGGCCAATGTCTTCTACTCTCCTGAGTACAATGCTTCATTCTCCTATAGAAACGCCTTCGACGCTAGCGATTCTCGGTGGTGGAACTACAACGATAACGAGCCCATTTGGATGACTAATGAGCGCCACGGGGACCGCAAAAGCTGTGTGTTTTTCTGGCCCGGAAGTGCATCCTCATATGCTAGTAAACTTCCTACAAGAACACAATCTCCCTACAATGCCTCCATTGATTTCACAACACGTATAGATCAAATCCTAGAGTGGATGCAGGAAGATGATAAAATAAGCCTGTGCATGGTTTATATGGAGGAGCCAGATGCCAGCGGACATCATTTTGGACCAAATTCAAGGGAGGTTAAAAGTAAAGTGGAGGAGCTGAACTTCTTGGTAAAGTATTTAATCGAGAAAATTGATGCAATGCCTAGAATGAGCGACTCGGTCAATGTGGTTTTAACATCGGACCATGGAATGGCTGAAGTCCTAGATCAAAATATAGTACCACTTTACAACATTCTTGATCCCAAAGATTATATCGCCAATCCATCGAGGGTTTTCTTTGGTATTTGGCCAAAGCAAGGTACGCTCGTCTCTAATTGGCGTAACGGTTTACGTGCCTCCGTTTCAATTTCTTTTGAACATAAATAGTGCTTGTTGAAACAATTCTCGATATAAAGGGCTTTCGTTTTTGTTTTACAATGCTCTGCTCATCTCAGACCACCCTTAGTATAACCATTGGTTTCATAAGGGTTTTTACACAATGAAATACTGATTAACTGCGATTAGCTAATATATCATTATTTTTTTTTCAATTTGCTTTCTTTTGCCGGCGACCTCAGGTGGCCCTACCGTGACGCAAATGTATGACAAGTTGGTCAAAGCAAATGTCACTGGCCTATCCGTTTACCTCAAAAAGGATGTCCCTAACCGCTATCATTATGCCGGCACACCTCGTTGCCCGCCGCTGATCCTGCTTGCCGATCCAAAATATGCTATCCTTTATCAGCCATCACAGCGCTGTAAGTAGCAACAGAGTCCCAGCAGCAACTTAATTATTTAATATCCGATTAGGATGTTTACAGCTTACAAATGTTTCAAATCTTCTTTAATAATACGCTGACACGTTACCATATAATTAATGCAGTTTTAGCATTTACGACACCTAAGCAGTTTAAAAGGGAAAAACGGAAGTGAAACCATTTATTGCCCTACTTCAATTAGTGGGGGTTTTTTATATTTAGATGGCAGGGGTGAACATGGCTATGACAATCAGGACACTCGAATGCACGCCTTACTGATAGCAGCCGGGCCGAATGTGAGGCAGCTGGATGATGTGCAGGAGATTCAACAGATCGACATCTACGCACTAATATGCGGCATTCTTGAGCTCCAGATGCCCAACGAAATCGACGGAGACCTGCGAAGAGTGGCGAGGCTTATTAGACCGCCACCTACGCAAGAGTTTATCAATCAATTCATGTTCTACAGCCAGAATTCTCTTAGCACTGACGCCTCCTCCAGTAATGTAATAGTTAAGAGTACTGCCTTTATAGCTTTTACACTGTTTATGATAGGCTACATGCAACAATTTATGTAATGTAGAGATATATTAAAATAGTGGATCGGGATGCAAATATACCAGAGATGCATTATTCTGAGACATGTAGGGAATGAACATCCTCAAATTTGAAGAAGTTATAGGCAACTAGAAAAAAATGATAATACCACTTACTAGGAGAGGGTATCAAAATCCTTCTGATGTTGAAATCAATTTGCCTATTTGGTGTCCATTATCTACCCTAATATTATACTCCGTAGATTTAGATTGCAAAACAAGGAAGGTAATTTAAAAACTGTTCCGCCATCGAAATGACACTCTAATGAGTACCAAATTGTTCTGATCCTGTTTTAAACAGGGCCGTGAGCTCCTAAACCATTGCCCTAGTAACTGTTTCTATATCAGCTGTCAACAAGCCAAAAAATTTTGTATTTGCATTGCATCCAATTATCCTTCAACTCTTTATTTAAAATCCACATTTTTCCAAACATAACCAGCACCGTCAAAGAAACCAAGTCGATATAAATTGAACAACCTAATCCACTTAGTCGAACTGATTTCTGAAAATCATTTGCTGATGAAGCGGATAGGGAGATGTTTATTTAGGGAGCATAAATGATAACCATAATATGCAAATGTCACTTAAAGGCCGTTGTGCGGACCTCCCGGATGGCGAGACCATTACGCTCCGAGTCGTTTCCATCAATGCAGATGGCGTGTCCCCTCTTTGGATGGTAGGCCGTGTGGGCCGGCAGGTTAAGACTAATTCTCTTTTCCAGTGACGCCTCCAATATGCCAACATTGCAAGTAGGCCATCAAATAGGTATTTGGTCTTTCTCCTTATTAACACAAAAATTTCTAAGAATAAGATGTTTTAAAACAAATAGTTTCCGTCACAGTAAAAAATTCGTATTTATATTTCGTGGCTCAACACAATAAACTATCTTTACATATTTATATAAAAAGATAACTGGTTTCGCGCTTTCGATAGGGTGCCCATAACAAGATGATGTAAAAATTATTTAGTCCTACAGTGCAGCCTTCATAAAAAATGACAAGCATAAATAGCTCTCCTCAACAGGGTTCATTGACGTTTTTCTGGAGGCGCGTTAGTCCTCACAAGATTCTCTCAATTTGCGCAATCCCGTACTCACAATTGCTTTACATCTATCCATGATAGCAAATTACTTCCTTAAAAGTACATTTTTTCTATTACTATGTTTACATTATAAACTCTTTCCAAAAATCCACTGCACTCCTTAAGGTTAGGTCAAGCTATGTGAAAATGCTTAGAAACAATTTGCATAAACCAACACAGGATGCCTTCATTCTGATGAGAATGAGACAGTTGGTGAGGCTAATCCCTTAGTCATCCTGGGCACCACCCATGCTATCATAAATTCCATTTATAAAATGGGATTTATCATACGCATTAGCCACATCCGGCAACGCAACCACACAGGGCAGTAAAGTTCTTTAAAAGACTGAATCCTAGCTGTATAAACGACGATTGAGCCTTTCCCCATTTCCGACACCTTATTGGTAATTTTACTAAACCTACGACAAAGGTTCCTAGCACAGTGATGATGATGACGTACGCCTTCAATTAATGATTTAGATGCTAAGGTAGCCCAATTCTCAAATGAGGAGACATCTGCCTGCATGAGTAAGTAGTCGAAGCACAACGATAGTAAACAAAACATTATGAAGTTACTAGAACTCATGATAGAAGTTTTGTTTGCTGCAACCAAAATCAGTAGATGTTTTCTATCGAGTTTTACTGCTGAGCATTAATGGGAGTGGCACACACTTTGACCTCCCGATAATACTTGATCAATTTAGCTTAAAATGGACTTATGTCGCTATAAATAAGAAAGCTTACACTATTCAGATGTTTCATTATTATTCTTAACAAAGACAATGGCAGTAGACATTTGCTCTGATTTGGTTAATTAATGTTCTGCGCTTTGATTGGTTACTTTTAGTATAGCCAAATTCTTTTATGCACCTTACATTCTTTAACTAAAAATTTGGCCAAATTTTATTAAAACGGATAGTTTTTAACTCATTTCTATTACCTTTGGCGGATTTTCGGTTATGGTAGAAGAGATCTAAATCCACAAACTATTTAAAATAGCCACAAGGCTCATTTTGAATGTGTCTGGAAAATTCGCATAGGAAAGGACAAATGGCAAAAAGAAATACAAATCTAATTAAGGTTACAAATTCCATTTTTTGATTAACTAGCTTGTTCCTATGCATTGCTCCCAGTTGGCTCTGGGAGCAAACTAGCAGAAAATCAAATCAGAGTAATAGACCAAAGAGGATTTTATCTAAGATTTAAAAACCTTTTCTGGGCACAAATATTGCCAATGGTTGGCTACAATTCCATGTATTTTGGAAAAAATACATCATGTTTTGAATTTACTAGGTCAGTAGTCATCAATTTTTTCATGAGGAAATACAAACAATCCAGAAAACAACCTTAGTTGACAATTCAAGCCAGATGTGAAGCGGTGGTCGCTTGGCATAAATTGATGCCATGCTTGGATGCATGAAGTGTCAAGCATTCTGCAACACATAGAACATCCCGGAGCATAACATTCACTACTGGTTAGTGTGGAGGTAAAGATCTTTCATCTATTGAAAAAAAGTTTTATAAATGGATTCAAACAGCAGGATGAACTCAAACATACTTTACGGTTGCAGAATGCCCATTTTTTCTTTAATGGAAACTTAGTCTAATTTTATAAATTTAATGGTCTTACCGTCCGAACTTGGTTCATAAAAACAGTTTATTTAGGATATTTTAGGGTGTTTAATTGCAGCCTAAGTTGATCCAAGTGCATTCAATTTAACTGTTGCTCTCAGTATCTAGGCTAGTTAGGTAACACATCTTTAAAAAAATTCTTCTATAATTACGAAGGGGTGTCTGGTTTTCCGTTTGCAATTATGCAAAATCGGAAGTATGTTGCAGTGCTTACAAGTTTCAGTTTGCTTTTAAGATGGAATGTTAACACGTTAGTATATTCATTATATCCACACATTTATATGAAAGTGTGTTAACATGTAAATTGTTAAGCTTTCCTCGAGAATAGAGACCAGTAATTGACGGTTGGCTTTGTTACGGTGGCAGTTGGCTTTGGCTGGACTGACACCAGTCTCCAAAGGAAGGCATTTTGCGCATCCATGCTACTTCCAACAGCCGTCATTATGTTCTAGCAGAGTTAATGGACAAACTGATAACTTACCGCCTACGTGGCACTTGTACCATTTGGTATGTCACAAAGATGGCACCCAGTTTCAACCGCAGCACCTGTAATTTGCATGGCATAATTCATGCATAGTGCTTATCATTTTTGGGAGGATTACACGACCCTGCAAGACATCAATGGAACCCATTTTGAATTAAGAATTCTGCACTAGGACTTTAAAAAAGCAAGAATTTAATCGAGTTAAAGTAGCGATAATTTGTTGCATATACTGTTTATGACATTAGGACAAGCACTGCTGAAGTCATGAGGAGTGGGGACAGCTGGCAGTATCTTGCAGAGGTTACTACTGACATACCGGATGACTCCGAATGTCACGATGTAAGGCCGCTAGTCACCATCCTAGATACCAGTGGGAATCAGGCCTTGCTCGGTCAAAGCATCAGTCGGGTCATAGCCTCAAATCGACCCCAAAGAATATATGTCCGATGTTTTAATGAAATCCAAAGTAGGCAGTGTCATATAGGCCGGGGTTATTGGTCAGAAGATGATTGATATATTAATGGTAGGATTTTGGGCAAATGCCGAGAAGCCATGTTGGACGACAAAATCAGAAATCACACCCAAATAGGCCACCGCAACTTATTGGGCCTGCGCCGCACTGAGGAAATGGTATCCCAACATGATACTCTACTGATGAATCCTGCTAGATACTTTTCAGTTAGCGTCCTTACCTGTGGCATCTGCTTCCCAGAATACCATGTCGGGAACTATCCAATATGGTGATAAAGTGGATGAAGTTAAAGGCTTCGGCTGGTTTAAATACGTGCATGCTATGGAATTTAACGTTAAACAAAAGGAAGGCTGGGTTGGTTTGCTTGATAGGCATCATGCGTTACTACGGGTAGCTGTCACAACTAATACAAGGATAGATTAGAAGGCCTACAGAATCAGGATAGTGGGACTAGGGTATGGATTAAAACATGCATCGAATGATTTTACCCGGTCTATATCCTTTAATTTCGTACTAGAGACCTTGCACTAGTAACCACTGACTTTCTATATTTTTTGCTCTTTGCATTCATTCATTCATTTTTTCATTCATAGTCCAACTTTTGCATAATGTTATCTTCTGTCATTCAAGCTACATGAACTTTGGGACAAGGCAACTTTTCGATCCTGAAGAAAAATATTTAATTTTGTGTTTAAAAAGGTAGTGAATTAAAATATTAATTTATTGAGAAGTAAGCAACTATGACCTCAACAATTCACAATGACGAAGTAATTTGATAAAAATGTCCTAAACATATATTTTCGTTTGATCTGGAGGAGGGAATGAAGTTGCTGTAAAAACGGAATTCACGTTTTAATTTTAAGAAGTCAAGATTCATTCGCCACCATATATCTGCTAAGATTTGTACTTTTTGAATGGTCCTACAAATTCTCTCTTACTGACGAGTAGGTACTTTGTTTTCTTTCCCATTACTTGACTAATAACTGCAAGTTAGCTGAGACTGTTTGTTAAATTCCCACTGCCCAGGGATCAGTGCTGTTTCCAGAGGTGGAATGATTTTAAGTGGTAAAATAATGTCTAATCTTTCAATTCCTAAACACTCTTACTGTAGTTCGCGCATGGGCTGTGCCGAGGTCTAGACACCCTGCAGCTTACATTAATTATCATTGTCAAACGACTTGTTTAGAACTTGAGAAAAATCCTTCCACTTGCCTATGGGCTTCCTTAGCACTAAACCAAATAATTTATCCCACTTAATGTATACTCGCTAACTGATTCCAATTAAAACACCAAAATAATGGAAGATAACACAA